AAAGGGAGTGGGGACGGGGACGTATGGAGGAGAGGAGGAAAAGATCCAAAGCCGAGTGAGGCAAATGCAACGATGAGGAGAAGGAGCCTTTTACGGTCATATACTTACGGTGTATATGGGTGTACAAGTATATACACTTATACGAAGGTTTTATTGCGAGATTTGCGAGTCGTGAAGTTCGCCTCGAAGTTTAATATCTATACCCGTCCACCTTACGTCCGTGTCTATAGTATTATATCGTAAGTGGCTAAGCTAAGAAACCATTGGCGATGGCAACACAAATAAATAATATTTACTACTGTCCCATTGTATACATTGCACTATAAGCATATATTATTATAAAAATGTAAATTCATGTGAAATGTTTAACTTTACGGTAGTGCCACCAGATGGGATCTATATACATCACGTGTATCGGTTATGAAAATACCTTTCGGACAAATTGTAAAGATTTTTTAACCCCGTCAAATATTTTGTTCTATATGCAATACTTGACTGCATTCGTACCCAACAAACAATATATAATGTGTACGCGTGTGCGGGAAAATAAACTATAAATGTATATAAAACCAACATACAGCGTTTTTCGTACAAAAGTACCAGATACGAAGACCAACGCGTTAAAGTATGTATACGTATACGCGTTGGTGGCGTGTTCTTGGGGGTGTATTCGGAGGGTTCCCAATACTAATGACTCCGGGTGTTATAATAAAAAAAAAAAAAAAAAAAAAAAAAAAAAAAAAACAAAAGTCTCGAAATTACATTACTTTCGTACACCGAATCACCGATTTGTTTTTTTACAGTATGAGTATCATACCAAATCGTCTTACTCGATAGTCCATATATATTATACACGGCGCGGTATTATTTTATTTAAATCGAGCCGGTTCGACATACATGTATTTATCAGCCTCCCCAGCATTGCTATAAACAATGTCCCACAACTAAAAATAGTTAAAAAAATCGAACAAACGACAGGTACCGTATATACATAAAGAGGCCGTACTACACGGCCATCAAGTGGACGGCGTACTCGGACCCGTTCTACCCCGGGATCTGGACGAGTCTTCTGATAGTCATCGCCCTGTCGAGCGCGCTCACCCTCATGGGGTGCAAGACGCTGCAGTCGGTGCAACGGTCCGTTCCACCGGAGCGTAGAAACGAGGCGAGCCTCGAGCTCACCGAAACCGTCTTCCACACGTTCGGGGCACTCTGCGCCCAAGGTATATCCCCGTTTGACCAATGTATGGATAATCGATACATGTAACGTCGTATACGTGCAATTCAAGGTCACGACTCGGTGAACATCGACTCGATACGTATCATCAATTGGGTGGTGCACATGACCGGGGCCATCATCCTGGCAGCCTANAGGATCACCAGTAGCAGACTTCTGCTCCGAAACGTGAGTATATATGTATATATATTACATGTCTATCCCATACCTATATACATTTCACTCAATATAAATGTTATATGCTTACTATCTATCTGCTCCATTTTGTTTGTTGTATAGTTCATGAACATTAATATTATATACCGTATAATTATACACATATATATATATATATATATATATATATATATATACACACGAGCAATTATGCGAGTTATGTATACGGTAATGCTAAATAGGACAAGTTTTGCATATAAAAATAAGTCAATTTGTATACCTGTATGATTGTAAGTAGAGACTATAACTTTTATATGTATTGGCGCGCACAATAGCAGGATACAACATATACGAGACCTATTGTATCGAATCAAAAATACCTATTGTATCGTGGTTAAAAGTCGAAAGAATCGTATGCATTTTTCTACATTCAACTAGAGACTCCTTTAATTGTGTATACCATGTGGTTGCACCAATAAAATGCCACTGTAGGAAAAAAAAAGCGTGACGCATCGTGGTAGTAATAATTTTTCGCGGGGTCAGCTTTAATTTTGCAGTCCCTACGAAACGCGAATATCTGAAAATATCTAAGAGAGAGAGAGAGAGAGAGAGAGAGTGACTCGTGCAAAAAAAAAGGAAGCGAACAGCGAGGGAGGGAGAGAGAGAGAGAGAGGCCTTGAGGACGAATGGCTGGGACGCGCGACGGTATACCTACATAATATACATAGCGGCTCTGCGCCTGTCCAACTTGCACGTGTACTTTAGGGCAAAAAAAGTGGAGGAGAACCAAGTAAACGGGGGCAAATATAAGTAGGTAGTTATAATCAAAAAGTGCAGAAAGCAGCAGGAATAAGAGATACTTTGGGTGCCTATAATGCATATAGATATACATGTATAAAAATAATATGTAGTATTAGGAAGGGAGCAAAGTACGCGGCGAGGAACAAACGCGGAACGCGAGAGAAGAGAGCGAGGGGAAGGTGCTGCTCTACCATACGTGTGTATATATGTATGTACATGTGCCAGAGGCATTCTTTTCCGCTCTCCCTCTCTTTTTAATACATGTACGTGAAATTGAAGATTTGAAATTGTCAAACTAAATATATTTTGGCATAAAAAAAAGAAGAGTAAATCTATGGAAATCCATCGGAGAGTGGAGGAAGTGCCCGATGGAACTCTCATCAGAAGTCCCAAGAGAGACAGAGGGAGGGAGGGAAAGGAGCGGGGGGTTGCGCTGTAACGTTGCCGTGGATGTGTATAGGCTTGTATAGAATATTTATACAGTATAGGGCATGTATGTGTATACGTTTCGAGAAGGAGAGACAGATAAACCAAACCAAACAGACCGAGAGAGAGTGAAGGAAAAACGGAGCGCCGAGCTGTGAGTGGAGCACAGGAGCTGATGATGTAGTGTATACATGTATATGTATACGCGTGGGGTACACGAGGGATGTCGCAAAAAAAAAAAAATAAATATCTGGTTACGAGCTTAAACATTTATTTTTGTTTACTCGCGTGATATTTCCTTTTTTCACCAACTTTAACAATAACTAGATTTTCAAATTACTTGAAGTGCATTTTTAACGGTTCTTTGAACACATCTTTAATTTTTCTTACAATAATTTAGAGTATGGTCAAGGAGCAATTGTGTACCATACAGTTAAAGACAAAAATCTGCTTTTAACTGTAAAAATATAAATGATGGAAACTATCGTTTAAGGCACAGATGCCACAAATTAACGCTTTTTTTAAAGTTTGTCCGTTCATGAAAATCTCTGATTTATTATTTCTTTCTTTTTTTTTATTTAAAAAACGTAATTTTTCAACGCGTTAAAAAAAAAAGGTTGTTTTTTTTTGTAATAATAGCCGTTGTCATAAGTGCTTAGCTTCGCCAATTGCATGCGAGACGATTTTCGAATTTATTAAAGCTTTTATTTTGGTTATTTATCGATTAATTTAAAACACGCTTCATCAAAAAACCATTGCGTATATATAGGTAAATTAATAGAAATTTACATGAAACACTTATAATTTTCTTCGATTTGTTAAAAACAATTTTTCCAAATCTGACTCTTAAAAAAAAAGCACGACGCCACAAGTAGACAGACGCGTATATTTAGATGTTCACTAATGTTTTAAAGTATATACCCAAATTTTGTTTCCAACCAAATCGGTATCGGGAACTGCTGATATTTTTTTGTAGATCCATCCATATATACATTACCATCCAGCACAACACATGGGCCGCATATCGCAGCAGCGAAGAACCGAGCGAATGTTAAGAGAGATACGGAGAGAGAGAGAAAGAGAGAACTCGGTAGGTATATACTATATAGTCGTAGTCGGCAGCAGAGCAGCTATACAAGCAGCGGTAGTGGCGGTGGTGGTGTTGCCTCGTCGGCGCGGCGACTCCAGTTCTCTCTCTTGCTCGAGCTCTCCTCTCTTTTAGTTCGCCACGAGAGTCCGCTCTGTCGACGCTTGTACACAATTTCTCTCTCTCTCCTTTTCCATCAACACACAAACAGTTAAATACCACATGCGAATCGCTATTTTGCAATTGCAAGCCCGCAGTGCCTCGAACAAGTCATAAACAAGTTACACTTTACGATACTTGCTCCGAAATTTGTTATATACCAGAGGACGACGAATCGAGTGTAGATGTACAGATAAATATATATATACATGTATTTTTCGTACTCGAGAGACGAGCATCGGAGAGAGAAATAAAAGTGAGTGAGAGAGGGTATATAGGGAGGCCGGTCCCCGGCGCGCTCTCCCCCACACCGCCCAACTTCAGCCAGTCGACCCACCCACACCCGTCTATATATATATATGTACATGTGTAGTGTGTATATATTCACGAGAGCGTCGAACGGGCCAGCGGCAGCGGAGCCGACCCACACCCGTGTAACGTGCCTTTCGCGTTTTGTTGATTACTAGCTTACACATTGGAGGCTGCAGACGGGGAAACAAGCAGCAGAACCCGATGGTATACGTACCGGTACTGCATGTACGATAAAGGGTTTTTTTTTTTTTTTTTTTTTTTCGTTTCAAATGTTGTTAATTAAAAACCAAAGGGAGGACACTACATCGGGCCGTACGTACGTATATATAGTGTGCCGTGGTGCCGGTTGTGTTGAACATTTACAATAGTCGTCGTTGCAAGGATTGCAACAAGTGGTTGAAAAAAAGGAAAAGAAAAGAAAAGTGCAGCGCCAAAAGAAACGAGCTGCCGAAGCAGCAGCAAAAAGCTGTGTAATATATACATATATGGAGACGAAGGGAGTGTAGGACGAGAATAAGAGGAGAAAAAAAAAAAAAAAAAAAAAAAAGAATCGTTGGGTAGACTCGACGGATGGGGCAAAAGAGAGGCGCGTTCCTGTGATGCCGCTGTTGCTGCTGCTGCCATGCAGCTAACGCTCAGACAAAGGGGAACAGACCCGAGAGCACGACCTGCACGATGACGGCGGGGACGACGTTAGTAAAAAATTATACATACTAACTTACTTCTCTTATTGTTATTTGTGTACTTCGCACGGCTGTTTATCATAGTATATATATATATATACGTGGTGATGCATGTATATATATACCATGAAGTTATATAGTATAGCACGACAGTTCGGTGTTATATGGTTGATATATACACACTGATGACACGACGATGATGGTGGAGATAGTGATGGTACGAGAACGTGAGCCAGTGAGTGCAACATACGATAGTGGCGGTGGCTCGTAGTTTTGTCGGAAAATAAATTACATTGTGTACAACGAGTGACGAGCGAATTTTCATTTTGTACATCCAGGAGGGTTATGTTTACCACGATGCTGCTGCACCGCACAAACTGCGAGTGCGAGAGCGAGGATCACCAGTAGCAGACTTCTGCTCCGAAACGTGAGTATATATGTATATATATTACATGTCTATCCCATACCTATATACATTTCACTCAATATAAATGTTATATGCTTACTATCTATAAAGCAGCAGGAATAAGAGATACTTTGGGTGCCTATAATGCATATAGATATACATGTGGCGCACGCGTATATTATATGTACACATGTATACGCGCGTGTATATACTCATATATGCAACCATATATTGGGGGGGGGGTGATGCTCGCTCTCTCTATTGTATATTATACATATATATATATACATTTGGTGCGGAANTATACCGTATATATATATATATATATATATATATATATATATATATATACACGTTACGCTGATAATAAAGCACGAGCGGGACGACGCGTGTGTGTGTGGCTGTGCGTTAATGTATATCAAATAGATGTGAATATCTGTCGCGCACGCGTTTGCTGTCGGCAAAGCGAACGAGAAAGATAAGGAAATAAAAAAGTCGTGTAGGATATATATATTACGGAGGAGTACGTGTGGGAGTGTACGATTATACACACGCGCGTGCACGTTATGTTTATTATATCTAGACATATCGTGTATTGGGTGGGTTTTTATTGTGCGATATGTATATTTTTTTTCCATTTCTCTTTATCTTTTTATATTCGTCTGCGCGTGTGTCTCCTGCTGATTTAGCGCGCGCGCGCCGAGAAACGGCCGAAATTTATGGATTGTTTCCAGGGAGACCATCAGGACGAGGACCGACCGGCTTCCGTGCGACGCTGCTCGTGATGCTGATGTCTCCTCCTCATCCTCCCTCCTTGTCTCTACATCTCTTGGGTTCTCTCTCACTATCTGGTGCTTCATCTCGGCTTCATGTATACAGGCGCTGCTAAATTTTCCAGCTCCACGTGCTCTCCCAGCACTTTTGCTTGACTCGTGTTTTTGTTGCACGTATAATAAATTGTACTTCGTTGTCGTGTTTTAATGACAAAGAATTTTTTTTTTTTTTTTTTCCATACCACGCTGGACAATTCGATCAAGGGTTTGTAATGAAATATGAAATTCCAACTAAACTGTAATGTGTAAACTCTACATGAATTATATTATATCGTCTACAGCTGAGATAACATCACAGAAGACATAAAATATTAATCTTCATCATCGTTGCAAGTATATTATCTTCTAAAGATAAAAAATATGCACACTTGGGACACACCGTATTAAAAACTCGTCGAAGAGACGAAACATGTGAATTTGTTTGGTTCGAATCAACAACCCTCCCTGAAATGACAAATTTTTTTTTAAATCACACCAATATCTTCTTTTTTTCTTTTTTTTTCCATCACACACGTACAAAAGAAAAAACCAGACTCTTCCAGGCCCAAGCTAATTATAAAAAAATCAGCGAGTCGACGTTCCGAGCTTTTATATATAATTATACGCAGAGGTCTTTTACCGCGTGTTTTTCCCGAGAAAATATATCCTCCCTGCAGTTCACGAGTGTATAGGTATATATATATATACGCACCCTATATACGGAGGGGCTTAATAATTCAAGTTCAACTTTGGTAGCCGAGTTGTCGACCCCACAAAGCGCCGCGCCGATCCTTACACACACATGTATATACACACAAACCGTACGGCTGTATAGCCATACAACTGAAAATAGAAACTCCATCAGCCACAGAGAGTCATATAGCAGCTCCAACTGCGCGAGGGGCATTAAAACTCTGCGGTGGTACGTGGCGCATATATATACACAGGTATAACGATCGCGGTGGGGAAGCCGGTATAACGAGGCCCGTAAAAAAAGGGAACAAGTTCACGGAAACCAAATACGATAAGGGAGAGACCCGAACGCGGGAGAGAGTAAGGAAAAAAAAAATAAATAAATAAAATAAACAACAACAACTGCAGACGTCCGTACGGACCGTCTAATTGCAACGAGAGAGAGAGGGGGAGGGAAAAGTCCCTCAGAGAGAGAGAGAGAGAGGTATGGGTTTAACGAGAGGGCGCGAGATTCTCGGCTTGATATCATTTGCCGCAAGCGGGAGAGGGGCAGAGAGGGTCTCGCCCTCTAGACCGTGTGCACATACATACACCTGAGGGAGAGCCGAAGGGAAGGAAAGAGAGAAAAGGAGAGATACTTGTATAGGTAGACAATAAGAGGGGGGGGAGAGAAAAAAAAGGGATAAAAAGGATGAGAGGCGGTTTCCTCCCCCGTCCTTTTTTCCTCGCCTGCGCGGAAGAGGAGGAGACGGTGCATGGTCTATACTCTCCTTCGCTGGCGTGCTTTATCGGCTCGGGTTGTTTCGCCTCCTCTCCTCTCCTGCTCCCTCCTTTTTATTCTCTACTCTTTCTTCGACCTAAACTCTCTTTCCTCCTCCAGTTGTACTTTCGTTCCCTCCGATTCTTCTGTATGGTATATACATATACATTGCCACTCGACCGCGAGCTCTCTTCTATTTACACGCAGGACGGGTAGTTCGCAGGTGTATGTGTGTGTTCATTGGGGTGTCCGTTATTTCACAAATTGAATTTTTTCTTGTGGTTCTCCCACTACTTGAAGTATCGCTTCTTTGTCATTTGTACCACAAGTGTACAGAAATGCATCGAAATATTAACCCGTGACCCTGTGTGCATTTTTCAGTAATCCAAGACCTCGTGTTTTTTTTCTCCTCTAACAAAAGTAAGGAAATTGTTTCATCTCGAAATTAAAGACATTAATGGTAACATCATCAGATGTTCATAATCCAAATTTAATAAAAAAAATTTTTAAAATGCAATTTGGTATACGTAACGATAGCGCTTACTCTGTAGTATAATCGGGGGATAAAAAAAACAAGGGACGAGAAGATGAGGTAAAAGAAAGAAAAAGCTCACGTGTGTATAAGAGTATAATGTATATACCTAAGTAATCGCACGCAGACACGAACGGAAGTCACGAGTGCATGTATGGGTGTACCAACGGGGTCCACGAGTATAACCATATATACGTGTACGTAATATACCACGTTTGCTAGGGTAAAATTAAAAAAAAAAAAAAAAAAAAAAAAAAAAAATATTAAAAGCCAAGCCACGGCTCCAGACCCCTTCGTTTCATTAGTCATTTTAATTTACGGACCGATTTCGGTGATGTGCGTCGAATTGTATGTTTTTCTCCCCTCTTGGTTCGGTTCATCGTCGCGATAGGCAAATGACAAAACGGACCGTAAAATATTTCGTATGCAAACCCATTTATGTCCCACGTGAAATTCTATATACATTCAAATATATGCGTGCCCGTAATACAAATACACGCCCACGCTCGACAGAGAAGAGTAAAATCGTTTTTTATAATCTCGCCCTCCTACTGCGTTACTCGTTGTACACGAAAGCTCACCTACACGCGGGCACGTTTCTTTTGTTATGAAACCTATATACATATAAAATTGTATATAATAGGCATGTGTACAACGAATCGCGGTACTGGGGTGAGAGTAAAGAGGACGCAATAAAAATATAGTTCGCACCCCATAACAAGCCGAACAATCGTGGGATAAGTACCTACGTATAGAGTCATAATTTAACGTTTAGCTTACTTTGGGTAAAAAAAATGAATATATTTAATTTTGTGTCCATTCACGTATTTATTACATTTTAATATCATTTGTATATACTTGACTAAAAAAAATTGTACGTCAGTCGTTGGTGCGAAAAAAACAAATTTCTCTTTTTATTTTTTAAGTAAAATCATTTACTTCGTCAACATATTAAACAAAGTAGCACTATAACCAAGTTTTAAAAAAAGAAAAAAAAATACATATTCTCCGCGACACTTAATCTCATATTTTTTGCTCCAACGAACTTGAGAGACATCGAAATAATAATCGGCTCTTGTCCTTCGCTCGCGTATCATCTAAATAGGGTATACCTGATGTATACACCCGTGCCCTCAAGAAAAACGTAAAAGAAAATGAAAGAATAACACAATAGGAGCGCCAATGGACAGCTAACTTTCGTTTTCACGAACGCTTATACTATACTTAATACCCATATTATTGTATACCTATACATCGGGCAAAAAATATACTTTACTGCCACATGTGCATCCTGCACATTTATGTGCGCTTAAATATACCCTGCATTTTTATATATATATATATATATATATATATATCGAATGCACGTTGCACACACACACTTATAATGACACGAGAGCAGTATTGAAGAGAAATGTATAAAAGAAGGGATCCACGTGCAGGAGGGCTCGAAACGCGAGGTTTGCTACCCAAGTATATGGTACGGGTGTAAAATTCTACCTGGCTTCTACACACACGTATACACAACTGGGAGTCTTGGGACGCAACTGTACTTACAGGCTATATGTATGTACGATATATGTACAGGGGGGGGGGAGAAAAATAATAAAAGACGTATACAGGGGGAAGGAGCAAGGTATAGGGGGGCGGGGGAGGGGGAGAACCCGAGAAGGGCGTGCTGACGAAAATGGAGGGATTCGCTCGCTCGCGCTCGTTTCTCGAGAGCGTGTGTATATATATATATCATCGCGACTGTCATATTATATAATATGATGCCATTGCTCTTTATGGATTGGCTGTCCGATCATCGTTTCACGAAGAAAGAGAGAGGAAAAAAAAAAAAAAAAAAATCAAATGTAGAAACAAAGGTGTACATGTACAATCATATATTTAATCACACGTGTTCAACGACTTACTTGTTACAGGCGCCCTTAGAGACACTTGGCCCAACAGGGGTGGAGGACCGAGGAAAAATGGCCGGGATAAGCGGCAAGAGGACGTACTTGCGCGAAGTGAACCCTCACCTCATCTGTCCCCTGTGCGTGGGCTACCTCATAGACGCCACGACCGTCGTTGAGTGCTTGCATTCGTGTGAGTATATATTTCATGTTTATTCCCAACAAGTACATCAAGTATTGCTTAGGAGGAAAAAAAAAAATAATAATAATAATAATTTGTTTGGCTTTGCAGTTTGCCGGAGCTGTATACTGAAGCACCTGACGAAAAATGCCCAGTGCCCGGTGTGCAAGCATTTGCTCAACACAGCCAAGCCGAACATCAAGTGAGCATATTTTTTCGTTTCTTTATCTCTGTATCGAGGGATTTTTTTTCAATGTACCCGAGGTCTCTGCATCCGAAGCGCTTGGCGCTTGAATTTCATGTACATAAATAGCTCTTTGGAGCAAAAAAGGGGGGGAAAAAAAAAATTAATAACTCAAGCGTACAAAATCGGTTTGCAGAGCTGACAAGACGTTACAGGACATCGTGTACAAGCTGGTGCCGGGGCTTTACCACAAGGAGATGCGCAGGCGGCGAGAATTCTACAGCAAACACCCGGAGCACGGTAAGCCCCACGATATTACCTTATACATGTCTGTTCATTTAATAAGTAGGTATATATTATAAATATATGCTTCCTGCGCGCTGTCTCTCTTCTATACCTCTCTCGGTCTCCCTCAATAATGCAATATGACATGTATACCTGTATACACCGATATATATGTATATTATTCGACAACCGGATGTGTCACTCCCCCCCCCTCCCCTCCAATAGTACCTATACGCCGCGCGACTAACAACCAATCGGAAATTATTCAATCGTGCATTTATACGTACATGTACGCGATCGATCTTTTGTCTCAATGGTTTGTCGAAATTTATCCTTTCCTCCTACTTGTATACACACGTACATTGGACATTGATTGCCGTTACTCGTTTTGGAATTATAAAAAAAAAAAAAAAAAAAAAAAAAAAAATCATGTGCCAGCGAGGAAAAACTGCAACCCATACTATACGTTTATCGATGAATATTTCAAATGTAAGCATATAAGCGTCTAGAAATAATTTAACGATTATGTATACCCGCCACTGGTTCATGAATCAAACAGATTGTTCTAATCGATTGCAGGACTCGCTGCGAGACAGAATAACCATCTTGCCGGTGGTAAGCTCTTCAATAACAAAGACAAAAATAGAACAAACACTGTTTTATCGTTATTATTTTATTCTTCGTTCAAGTATTACGTACATATATATTTTGGATTTATATATATATATANTCGTGCTCGTTAGTATTCGTTTGATGACGTTGGATATATATGTATATTTTTTTTTTTCCTAGACTAGAGCAATCAAATACGCTGTAATAGAAATGCAAAAGAGCTGATATAGCGTAATGTTTTTAGTTTTCGTTTGTTTTGTTTACCATCAATCACCGTAACAATGTGACACCGTTTGATTTTTTACCTTTTTTTCTTTTTTTCCCTCATGTACATCATACAATTGTAAGATACACGAGTGTGCCTTTTTTTTCATTAGGATAGCATATTATACAGTCACGAGACCGCAATTTTTTTTACAAATTTCACGTTTGTCTGCATCCTTTCAGTTCATATATATATATATATTTTTTTTTTCACAACGTATTTTGTATCCACGACACCGTAAAAACTGCCGAGAACTGCTCTTTCTTGCTTTGCAAATTGCAAATAAACCAACCAATTGTAAATACTAAAAAAAAAAAAAAAAAAAAAAAAAAAAGTTCGCTTGGACAAAAATGACACCAATGCACCCGCTCACACATGTCATATATACACAGAAATGAAAAAAAAGCCGCGTCAGCGCCACTATTCATTTAGCAAACTGCAAGTTGTGTGCTTATAGATGCGATTGTATCTTTTTTTCTTTTCTTCTTTGCTCTTTCCTTTCAATTCAGTTCTAAAAAAGCGCGTCTCTCTCTGCTTTCACCACACCTTCGTATAAAAACTTAATTATGCACACGCACACGCTGACACCACAGACATTGTCGGAAGCCTATATATATATGCACAAAACACCGACACGCACGCACGAGAAGGGCTGTTCTGAATTAATATCGAATTTCTATTTAAACGCGCGTAATTTAAAAGCGACGCCTTCATTAAAATTCTTGCCGTCCGATTATGAATAAATTTAATGCTCTCCGGCTGTACACATGGAACGAATAGCCCCTTTCGCAAGTGTACACGCGGAGCTCAACGACTCCGTGCAATGCAAAAAGAAAAAAAAAAAAAACAGAATCACAAACGTACAAACCAAGCAATCAGCTGTATAATCGTCAAAGTTAGAAAAGAAAAAAAAACGTATCTGCCGTCGAAGCCCAAGTGGATTACCAAAGAGCCAATATCTATAACGATCTCGCGTTTTCTCCCTTGGCAGCTGAATACGCGACACCGGAGCAACGAGGCGAGGACGTGAGCGGCCGGCTGATCTTCGCGCCCGAGGACGCGATAAGCCTCAGTCTGGAGTACCTGCCGACCGGGGCCGATCCCCTCGAGTTGTTGTCCACCGACGCCGCCGACGGAGGCAGCGCCAACCACTCGGCCAAACAGCCGAAACCCAACAACGGCATCACCCGGCGTTACCTCCAGTGCCCCGCCCTCGTCACCATCGCCCATCTCAAGAAGTTCCTCGCCCTCAAGTACGTCGTCGACGTCACCAAGTTCAACATAGACATCTGCCACAGGCGCGCCCCCCTGCCCGAGCACTGGACCCTCATGGACGTCGCGTACATATTCGCCTGGAAGCGGGTACGTAAACACGCTACGTCTTTCATTACAATAATAGTTGCTTTTTTTTTTTTTTTCAACCCCCCTCTTCTCGATTCCCCAGAACGCGCCGATAAGGTTCTTCTACCGCATAACACCGGAGGAACAGTACCTGGAGGCTCCGCCGAACGACAGGCCGTCGACTCCGGGCTTGGGCGCGAGCCAGCCCGTGCCGATAGAGCAGGCGAGCGAGTCTAACGAGACCAAGCCGGACAACCAGGTGAAGCACGAGAGGCCAACGAAACCGGCGGCAGCGCCCAACAAGGTCGAGAGTCCCCCGAAATCGGTCAAGCCTAGCGATACCGATAAATCCCCGGTACTGCTGGCCAAGCGCTCCTCTCCCAAGGAGGCCACCAAGTCGCTGGAGAACAAGCCGTCCTCGAGACCCGATGATCTGGTCAAGCAGGTCAAGAGCCCCCTGAAGATCGCCAAGAACTCGGACGGTCGCTACCAGGTGCTACAGGGCCCGAGCGTTTCAGCAAAGGACGCGCCGTCCCTGGACAAGCCGGTTTGCAAGTCGCCGCCCGCCGAGTTCAGCGTCGTGAGCATCAAGGACAGTCCCAACTCGAATGGCTTCAAGATCACCCTGAAGCAGTGCTCGCCCGGCACCGCCAACGCTACCCCCAACAATAACAGCTCCGCGCCGAAGAAGCCCAAGGTCATCAGCAACGTGCTCCTCAGCAAGACGGACAAGCTCGTCGGCGATGAGCTCCACAAGCCTGAAAAGCAGAAGCGCAAGGTCCACTTTGGGGACGCCGACGCGCTCAAGGCCAAGAAGCCGACCGAGCAGACCGACAAGAAGCAGTTCCTCCACAGCTTCAGGCTCACTGCCAAGCAGGTTCCCGTGGGTATGACGCAGCCGGATGGCGACGTCAAGCACCAGCCGGAGCAACAAGTCGCGAAGGAGGAGGGGGCCGTGGAGAAGAAGGTGAGCGAGGAGCAGAAGGGTTCGGGTGGTGTCAAGAGCGAAAACGAGAGGGGTGAGGAAAAGTCGCCACCGAGCGCTGCGAAAAAGCGCCCAGGCGACGCGAAGACTACCTCTACCAACATAGCCGATCGGCTCGGCGAGGCTAAACCAGCGACGGACAGTACCAACGAACAGCACAAGCAAAAGCCACAAACGCCACAGCAGCAAGCGGTCGACGTGTACGCCTTTCCCAATGATCCCCCAGCGCCGGTGCCACCCGGGGCTGTCAAGAGAAAATCCCCGCCTGGACATCCGGCTTTCGATTCGCGCAAGAAACAACAGCAACAACAGGTTGCCAAGAAAACCGGGAGTGGCACGCCGAAGCCGACAACACCCGTCAAGTGCTACAGGAACCAGACCAAGCCCTCTCTCTACGCAAAGCCATCGCCTAATCACGCCAAGGTAAGATAATAAATACCATCACGATCTTTGATTGCTTGGGTATTTATGTATTTGTCTGTAATCGTAGCAAAACCTGCCGATGAGTGCGAATGGCAACGTGACACCGGCGACCAGTATCGCGTCTCCAGCTGTGAGTTCAACGTCTCCGAAAAAGTCGGCTGCGTCGGCGCCACTGATCTCAAACGACACGCGGAATCTCCTCGATGGCTGCGGCCTCAATATACCCGCGAGTTTGAGTATAACCCTGACGTCGCCAAAGTTGTCGCCCAATCTCGTCAACGAGTCGCCCGACACGCGCATGGACCCGGCGAGGCAAACCACCATCGACAGCAAGCTCAACCCGAGCATCACCCTGAACGACAGAAGCGTGGATCCGCGAGTGTTGAAGGCACTCAAATCCGGACAGATGCGTATGTCCGTGTCCAATGTAAAAGGCAAACCCACGGGCAGACCGAGAACGCCGGAACAGCAGAAACAGCCACCGGCGAAGCGGAAAAAAGAAGAGCCAATGGCCGCGCCGGCTCCCCCGAAAAACATTTTGGACCTAAGTGGCTCGAAGAAGATGGATCTGCAGACGTTGAAGATTCCGATTCCTCACGCGAAAAACATGAAAATCCGACCCATTGGGTCCGCAAATTGGGTAAGTTACGCAGTACGTAAATAATGCATCGTTGATGATTGACGTTTACTTTGTTGATTGTAATATATTTACTCCTCCTTCTGCTTCAGCCGCATGTCAACAACGTCAAGCCTGGCTCCAAAGATGATCTTGAAGCTTTCCCCGTTAATCGACAGGTAGTAACGTTAGCCAGCGGTCAGAGGTATTATAGAGCGCCACCAGGATCATTAACACCGGCAGCTCATAGAATCAGTGATATGCCGATGCCATCCCGAGTACCAGTCTATGCGCCCTCTGTATTCTCGAATTCTCCGATGGGCCGACCTGCAGCGAGCAACTTTTCTGTCTTTCCCAGTCTCCAAAGTTTATATGCACTGAACCAGTCGACCCCGACTCTCGAACAATTTCACATGGAAAATCGATTACGATTGAGCGCCGCAAATAAGGAGTCGAACAATCAGAATAATATCCAGGTGAACAAGAGCCATTTGGCAGCTCAGTGTGCGCCCGTCAAGCCCACGAGAACGTTCGCCGTGCCCATAGCTAAGCAATCCGTAGCTGCGCAAAAGGTGGTGGTGGCAAGTCCGCCCGTCCCTGTGGCAAGTAAACCACCTGTGAACACTACCATCTCTGAGGGTAGCGAGACCACAAGTAGCACAACTACGGACGTGACCAGTGAACAGAAAATAAACAAAAGCGACAGCTCGAAGGAAGGTGAGGAATACTTGGCATATGACTCGAGCCTCGGAGTTGAACCGTAAATAATTTGACGAAATGGTTGAACAATTGATTATTTACAGCACTGCCCAAAGCAGAGCCGGCGGAGAACTGTGCATCTTCCACTGACGAGAAAAGTTCTCCGCAAGACGCTGCCAGTCCGAGAGTCACGTCGACGGCTTCTCCGTCACCACCGCCTAGCGTTAGCGACAGTACCACTGACAATAAAGAAAAACCAACCGTCTCGTCTGAACCGGAAAAATGCCAGTCTACCACTAATCCCGAGGAAGCAAGTATCAATAAATCACCAGAGAGTCCAGACTCGAGTTCCGTGGTGACGGAAAGTGTGGGTAATCTAGTCGACAGTACAAAACCATCAATTATTGACAAAGTTCAAGTTAAAGAGTCTTCAACGGAAAATAGTGAGAATAAAGTCGACGAGCCGATGTGCGAAGAGAAAAAAAATGTCAAGGTAGTAACTACGGAGCCGGAGACACCTACGACGTCGGAAGCGTGGCAGAAACGCTTCCTGGCCGCGTTTCCGTCCAACGAGTGGTCGAACGCGGGGTTTGGGAATTTCCTTAAGAGTTTGTCGGCGCAGGCTGAAGCTCAGTCAAAAAATACTAAAACAGTAGAATGAGAAATCGTCGAGTCAAGCTCCAATCAAGTAACGAAAATGTCAGAATACACAAGCGATGCAAAGTTTTGATCATGTGTTACTTATTCCGTTTATATAATATATTAAGTAGTGGTTTTTTATACATTATTAGAAAAAGAAAAAGAAGAATAGAAACCGATACGAGCTTTTTCTGGTTAATCTCGAATTTAGGATAGGATAATATTGAGTGGAACAAACACGTTCACGGAAGCTAGCTACTTCACTGCCAAATAAGTACCAAGTTCTGTTGATTGTGAAAGTACTGCCCATGCAAGGGGGATACTTTAATACACATGATCGTTGAGATAATGACTGACTTGGATAGTTTTGTATACACTCTATTGTGATAAGGCGTTTTTTTGTACTTTAAACGAATGGCAATGTTTTCTACTTACAGTGGTATTGCGAATAATAATTAAAATCAGTCATTGGTCGCTTATTGGATCTGGGAAATTATATTTTTGAACAAGCAAAGTATAATAAATTGATAGTTAGAGATGTAGACTATATTTTCAGATTCAGTAAGATGGCCAGTGATGACCAAGTAATACATTTTGTATGCATTTAAAAGAATCCTAAGGCAATGACAAATGTCAGCCACAGTTTTAATTCTTAAAGACGATTTAACATGAGCTTTCATGGTACTTGCCATATGATATATCTCATATAAACTACAGTATTCTTATAATCAATTAATAAAATATCTCAAATGGAGAATATGAAACATAAAATGAATGTTGTAAAACAATTTAATCATGTTTTAGTTTCAAAGAAAAAAAAAGAAAAAAAAAAAAAACAAAACATTTTTTTGATGTTTGATGTGGAATACTGCTTATTATACTGGTAGTATTAACTGGTAGTTAGTATTTGTACATTTTTAAGCTTAGTCTCCAGAGGGTCTCCAAAAGTCCCAATGGATCGAGATTTGTTCCTTTAATTGTAGTCATCGGCAACGTAAGTAGTTTTGTTTTTAATTGCATTTTGGCACTGTTAAAGCTTTAGTTTATCCCAAGTTTTGTTAATCGTTTGTACGCAAGTTATGGCGAATTCGCTGTTTATATATTTGATTGACAATCTACATAAGGTAAATTATACTTGAGTGATTAGTAAAAGAAAAAAAATCTAAAAATCTTCCAAGGAAGATTAATTTTCTCAGCCAAAGTTACTGCGAACTAATTTCAGTCTCTGTTGCCATCTTCAACTTTGTGAACATAATGCAAGTTGATGTGCGTACCAATATATAGAATTCAATTCATGTAAAAGAAAATCAGTGGTATTATATCTAAGGTGTAAATATTTTTGATGAAAAATTAACGTGATAAGAGTATCGATAAATACTAAAATAATAATAATGAAATGAAGCGATGCTGAATCGTTCTATTTTAATACAACAAAAAATACATAAGCAGCACTAAGGTCAATATAACGTGTACAAGATACGTACAACATTTAACTCGCCTTTTTTATATTTTTTTTTTTTTTTACAAAGTGGTGAACTTCTGTATGAATTGTAAAAGCGAACATCTGTGTACAATATCAAATAAATATAACGTATTCCTATAAAAGAGTTTTAATTTTATTTTTGTAAGATTAATTGCGAGATCAATTGTTAAAATACGCATATGTTGGATAAGTATAAGTTTCGACTATCATGTTATCGCATTCGAATAAATGAGGATGGCAAATAAATAAGTAAATTAATGGTCTGACCTGGCATGTCTCGGTTTCTCAGAACTTCACAAAAGGTCCCAGCAGAGCATCAACTTCAAAAAGACAAAGTCTGTAGAATACGTAAAGGTAAATTGATGCATCATATCAAAGTGCCGCCGTCCGAATCCAAACTAAATAACTTCTGTTATCACTGCACCTTATTATTATTTGTTTGAAAAAATCATCATAACGAAAAAACATGACAACGCTTCGTGACTATAACCAAACCAGACGAGAGTATGCAACTTGCGGGTTGCAATTGCGAGACTTGCGAAAGATAAGTATGACGAATTGACATTGTGAATTATAGGAATCGTAATAACCGGGGTGGTTTATTATTGTATACTTAATAATATTACGAAATTAACAAACACAATCGTGGGCTCGACTACAGGGTTGGTTGATAACTACGTCATGCTGTCTCTCTCGCACTCACACAACGTTATACTTATACGGGGTTCATCACGCCGCGTTTGCGGAACAACTCTCATACAGGCTCGAACCGGTTAGCGGCGGTGCTGCCGTGTTTTTAGAATAGGTTAACTTCAAAAACCCGCTAAGTACAGTACATAGTACCTACCTTACGACGAAGATTTTTACTTATAACCATCAAGAGTTGCGTTAGAAAGGGAGAAAGTAATCAAGTACGTAAGTAAGTGCCCATTACTTATGCCTACTTATTAAATAACGAAAAAAAATACCACAAGTGCATTGGGGTGCAAACAAATACAAATCTAATCTTGGAAAATACAGTCCCTTGTATTACGCTTTGGAAAATTCTGAATCAATATAGCTTTTCTTCTTGACGTGGGAGTTGATTATGATGCCGGTAACAATACTCTAAGATTTTATCCCCGAGTGTGCCCGCTGTCCCCCTCAGTATGCAATAGAATCAGCTAGTGCCAATAATATGGTTGAGCTTATATTATAGTATAAAGATACATATCCTAGCCCCCTGAATTATCTTCCTTCTGCTGTTGAAAATAGTAGACACAGCTTTGACACCATACAGAAGATAAGCCTTTTAATTAAACACGGGACTGAAATAAATTATGTAGATAAAAAAAAAGGCACTTCACTTCACGGAGCTGTAAGTAAGTTTGAAATTGTTTGTGCACTCCTGTATCATGGTGTAAACGTTGATGCAGTTGATGCATCTGGAAATACACCATTAAAGCGAGCACTGTTGAAAAATCATGAAGAATATTTCAAATTGCTTTTTTTTTGTTCCCCAAATATTGTTTTGACGATTTAAAAGACACGTTTTCAAGTATATTAAATGAATCAGAAAGTGAAGATGATCCAAGATGATGACGATGATGATGATTGTTCTATTTTAGAATTGTTCTGATCCGATCATTTTTATCAGTATTTTTTTTAATTTCTTAAATATTTTATTTTACATGTAGTAATTTAGGTATAAAAATTTAAAAATTACATGTTAATTGCTGTAATAAAATTTTAATAGGGTATCTTTATTGACTTTTTTTTGTAATTTAAAAATAAAACGATTTAAAAGCCTCGTCGAGATATGTACTATTTTTTATTGTATTGCTACCACCTCATTTCATTTTTTTTCTGATTCCCCATTACTTAAGTATTCGAGTTCCAAATGCAAGGGCGAATTTAGTGCAAATTTCGTAGACGACCCGATCTGACTACATGTTAATTTGGATGAATATCACATTTGGCGCAAATCGATTGTTGTTTCTATTGAAATGAAATGTCAAAAAAGTAAGGAATCGACAGAATTCATTGGAGAATTGCTTTTTCGAAAATGAGAATCGATATTGTACTTAACATTGATTCAAAACTAAAAAAAAAGTTATACCTACCGCCGCGTATATTTAATCGTTACTCGATTTGTATCGACATGTCGATAGTCGATCTATTAGTTCATCACATTAGTATTTGTGTATGTGTGAGATACTGTGGTGTATATTACACTTTGAATTCTTAGATCATTACGCTCATTAACTCATTATAGTCATTATACTTATCTTATCCGTATGACCGTACTTATGCTACATGTGAAGAGTGGAACACACACACACGTCATAGGCACACTTATAAAAAGAGTTAAGGTTATAAGTATATATACCTGTAAGTATTGTACCTGTATATTGTGCTCATAATAGAAGCAAAACAATACAGTTTCGTCAGCTCTCGCTTTCCGTGTACAATGATAATAATATAATTACCTTCACACGGAGAGCAACTAGGCTTTTGTCATTAATTCTTGTATACGTTTGCGCCTAACGAAAACAGGTCACCGTGACGACGAGTAGGAGGATATATACCTGTTCGCTAAGTTGCAAATCTCGCTACCTAACAACAGCTCGCCTCTCAGATCCTTATATCTCTTAAAGTGTCTGCCTGAAGCAGAACTTCCGTGGATGTGTGCCGCGTGGGGGTGTAGCTGTAGCAGATCGCCGATCATCGCTGCAAGTATAACAGTGTCGTATCGCCAAGCCAAGTAAGTAGTGGCGGAGCTCCAGAGAGAAGTCTTTTTTTTTGTCGAGAAGCAAAGAAGAGGACGTATACACACATATACCTGCTTGCATATTTACGAGCAGGTATGTCGCCGCGTTGCTGCAGCAGGGCGGAGCTGCCGCGTCGTCGTCGAGCTTCTTCTTCGTGAGAGAGTGAAGCTTATTGCTGCTGTTGTGTTATTGTAATTAATCTCTTTGATGCTGCTGTGAAGTGTACTGCAAGCGAGAGTGAACGATGCTGAGGTTCCTGTCGAGACGCCGGGCCCGCAGTGTCAGCGGCCAGAACAACTCGTCCCAGATCAAGAATCAGCGACTGCTCAGCAACAAAAATATCGTCCAGTGCCGTGTTATTTTGCTGGACGGTGCCGATCTGTCGATCGAGTTGTCGGTGGGTATTTGTTATCATCTGTGATGCTCGGGTTTTTGGGTTTTTTTTTTTTCCCACATCAAATATCCCGTTCTTTTTGATTTGCAGAAAAAAGCACTGGCCAATGATCTCTATGAGCAAGTATTCTACAGTTTGGACCTTATTGAAAAGGATTACTTTGGCCTGCAGTACACCGACAGCAATAACGTTCAGCATTGGCTTGATCCGACAAAGCCGATAAAAAAACAAGTAAAAAGTAAGTGGGACATCAGTCATGCATGGAGTGTGAATGTTTTTTGCAGCATTGATCGATGAATGGATTAACTGAATTACATTGGCATTATTTTTTTTTTTTTTTTTTTTTTTTTTAGTTGGGCCACCTTACACGTTAAGGTTAAAAGTAAAGTTTTATTCATCTGAACCAAACACCTTGAGGGAAGAGTTGACGCGGTATCAATTCTTTTTGCAACTCAAGCAGGATGTTCTGGAAGGAAAGCTCTACTGTCCCCATCAAATTTTGGTGCAACTTGCTGCACTGACATTACAATGTAAATCCTACCTTTATAAAATAGATGTACATCAATCTTAGAGAATCAAACAGTTAACCTTAACTTTTATTTTCCAGCTGAACTAGGAGATTATGATCCAACAGTGCACACAGCAGCTACAGTGTCGGAATTTCACTTTGTTCCAAACCAAACTGAACAGTTGGAGTTGGAAATCTTAGAAGAATTTAAAAAATGCACTGGACTCAGCCCAGCTCAAGCAGAGTCTGCGTACCTGGGAAAAGCCAAATGGCTCGATATGTATGGCGTGGACATGCACACTGTCATGGGTAAGGACTCGTGCGAGTACTCGCTCGGTCTAACGCCCACAGGTATCCTTGTGTTCGAGGGAAGCCAAAAAATTGGTCTATTTTTCTGGCCGAAAATCGGTAGACTGGATTTTAAAAAGAAAAAATTGACTCTAGTCGTGGTCGAGGAAGACGACGAGGGCCGCGAGCAAGAGCACACGTTTGTGTTCCGTTTAACGAATGAAAAGGCTTGCAAGCATTTATGGAAATGTGCAGTCGAGCACCATGCATTCTTCAGACTGCGCGCACCCGTCAAAGGTGCCAGCGGTCGACAAAACTTGTTCCGCATGGGCTCGCGCTTCCGCTACAGCGGCAAGACTGAATTTCAGACGACTCAGCTTAATAGAGCTCGTCGCACGGTGCAATTCGAACGAAGACCCAGTCAGCGATACGCTCGCCGGCAGAGTCACGTTCTTAGAGATAGGCAGCGTCAGGTGCAAGACCAGACGCCGCAATTGTCATCTGGTGAGCAGACACTCTTAAAATTGTTATATTTTAAACACTCGATAGATCGTACTATGATATATATTTGATATTTACGTTTACAGCTGAAGAGGAGCCGTTAGAGAGGCAGCCCAGCAGATGTAGTAGTGCAAAGTCCTCAGTGTCCGATAATAGTAGCGTTAAGGGCGCATCGTCGCCTCTGGTGGATTCGATTCTTAAGAGTCTAGCTAAAGAACAGCAGCCTCCTGAGCCGAGAAATGAGGCAGCAGTAGCTAGCAGTCAAAAGGAAACTGATCTGATGAAAACGAGCTTGACTATCGATAATGTGGCTTGTCAGCCTTTGACACCTGTTGTTCCCAACAATCAGGTGATTGGTGCAACAGCTTTGACGCCTCGTACGCCAATACCCCCGGAATCTTTAAAGTGTAATATCCTGAAAGCAAAGGTTCTCGAACAGGGAAAGAACTCGAACTTGGTATCGATTTCCACGTCTGAAACACCCTCTGCTATTTCGGATAAGTCACAGTTGTCAGCTGAAGCGGCAACCATAGTATCAGTGGTAAGTTTGTATTTGTATTACCTGGTTCATGATTTATTCATGTGGAGTTACTCATTTGTTTTTGGTTATCATAATTTATGAGTTTTTTGTGTCGTCGCTTTTTGTTGCCAGCTTAAAACAGGGATACACCTTGAGCCTGAAGAGTCTAAAAAAAAAAAAAAACCTAATTTTAAAAAAAAATTTCTTAAAATTTTAGTTTAGTGGTATTTAAAAAAGCACTATTTAAACTTGTCTAGAAGATTATTATTTCCTAAAACAGAAAGCATAGAGTGACTCGAGGTGTACGTACCCTAATTTACATGTTGTTGCTTTTCTGCTTCTCCTGCGATTTAGGGTGGCGATAAATTGACGCTCTCTGTGAGTGGAATATCGTCGAGTCCCACGCCAGTTGATGACGCGGTCACAGTCACTCACTTCTCGTTCGATAGCTGGGGCAAGATTCAACAGAAGACAACTCCCTTTACTCCAAAAGTGGTAAATCGATCACAAAATCCTTTCAATCCATTCACAAACCTGGACGAGTCGCTTATTACTAGCAACGGGGAAGAAAGTATTGCTGCTGCAGCGGCTGCTGTGCAGCCCATCACAGAGGAACTCATGTCTTTAGAACCGGTAAAAACGCCAGAGGAAAAGAAAGTCAACACCAACCCTTTCATCGACTCAAACCCTTTCTTTGGACTGCTCAATCCTTTTGCTTCCGACCTCAGCCCAACTCCTACTCCAACTCCTACCCCAACTACTCCGACTCTCAAAACTCCGGTTTTCGAGGAACCACCAAAAGAGGACAAGACAGACTCGGCAGTTATGCCTATTGTCAATGGTACGAGAGTTGTGAAAACAGAGGAGATACAGACCACCACGACCACCCTCACCCACAAAGTAAGCTACAAAACCGCTTGCGCTGATTTTTTTTTGTATTGTATTTTTGTGTTGGTACGTTCTGGCTAGTGAATTATTGTATTTCATTATAATCATTGTTTTACTTTTTTTTCTATTTTAACTAAATGACTCTAGAGTGAGATCTTTTTTAACTATAACTCCTGGGAAATTCATGACGATATTTCCGTTTGAAAATTACACTTGTTCATTGGAGATAGAGAATTAAAGATTATCATTGCATTCTTCAAAGTATGAGAAAATGAAAAAATCTTGTATATGACTCACTCGTCTAATGGATGAGATCATCTTATAAAACGGGCAGTTATTTGAAGTCTCATTCATTATTACTATTCTTAGTAACTTACGAATTAAAGTATCAATTAACTGTTTTCTTTTTTTCCTTTTTAAAATTGACAACTCTCTTGAAAATATAAGAATTTCATTAAAAAAAAACTTTTTCTGAATCCTGCACTTGCATTTATGTCGGTTTTTTTCAAAAAATGTTTTATTATGATTACAGGAGAATACTCCAGCAGCGTCAGACATCAGTCCTTGGTTGGTGGCGGATCCAGCTCAAACTACAACGACAACACAAAACACCCCTACAAAACACACTGTAATAACTCGCAAGACGGTTATTACGACACAGCTTTAGGCCTTTCCTTCTCAAAGTCGGTTCACCTATTAGCATAACGTCACAGAAGAATACAAATCAGCAGAATAGTATTACTATTTATAACACAGAGTTGCTGAATATTCTACTGTCAAGTTTGAGCTTTGCATCCAATCAAGGTATGTGTTGCCCATAATGATTTCTACAAATTGCAGGAAGTTACTACACTTCTCGTCTGTGTGCTGAGCAATCTTTCCTAACTGGTGCTACCATTGCTTCTCTCAGCTATAATTTTTACTGTACTTGTAGACATAAGTATGGATTTGTCAAAACATACATGCATATAAATATGTATGTTGAGAGAAAAAAAAATTTTCAGGCTCTGGTAGATCGTGTGCCATGTTTCACGAAAGATATAGTATTTCTTATTATGATAAGAGACAAATTTTTACGAAACGAAACTTTTTTTAAACTGTGATTTTATCGTCATTTTAAGGAATCAAAAAAAAAACCAGCTAAAATCTTTTTTAATTAAGAATTTTCTTCAATTCCTCAGAAGACTGGAATTTATACGTTTTTAAACAAATTAACGACACGAGAGAACGTGGCCTGACTAAATGGAATGAGTTTTTTATACCATTTTGCACTAGGTGAAAAAAAAAATTTTAACGTGCCTTCAAATACTTGTTCTAAAATTTGTACTTACTTTGGTGTAACAACGAGTGTTATACAGTTTTAAAAAAAAATCATCTTTTTCAGGTAAAGTAGAGATTAGTCAAAGTATGAAGTGAGATGTATTGTATTTAAGCAAGTTCTTTATTTACACAACAAAGAAGTTTATCCAAAATAAACTTCAAATCAATATTGGCTGCGTAATATTTCCAATCGGTGTAAATAAAGATTAAAAATTGAATGTTAAAATTTACTGACTTGTGTCGCAGTATTAAAAGAGAAAGAAAATATTTTACATTTATTTACTTATTTGTACTTAGTACTTAAAGTCTATTTTAAAGTTTCATTTTTCTCTGAAAGATACATTCCCTTCCTGATCTCTGTATTAAAATTTAGCCAAGCATTAACTGTATGAAATGCGACTCGTATACACAGTCATGCATTTATTATTTGTATTTGAATACATAAAGGTAATGCGTTTGGTGTATACTTGAAAGCATCAATCACATTAAATTATTATACATGATGAAACAGGACTGCAATATATTTAGAGTTTTTATGTGCATTGTTATAAAGTTTTATTATATTATGTAAATTGCGGCTTTTAAAAAAAAATATATATATATATTTGTAAATAGTACGTAAAACACAAGTTGCCTTATATAGACGTAATATTTACGAGAAAAGGTGAAAAAAAATCTGCTTTATTTTTACTGCTTGATGAATTTTCGCTTGAAATATAAAATTTACACACATCTGCTTTTTATTTGATAATAAAGAACTAGATGGAATCACGATTCATCAATTTTTCAACGGCAAATCAATGAAAGAATGGAGTGAGATATTTTTTACAAAAAAATTAATGATCGTTGGTAAATAAGTTATTAAAATATTGTTTTAAAAACTTTTATCCGAATTATGTCGACTCATGATTTTGGAATAAGTATGTATGTCTTTTACAACATGTCCTAATAAAAATAGACAATAATTTTAATCGATTCGTTCGTTTATTATATACTTTGAGGAAACTTCATTATAAATAAAGTCTCGTAATTAAAAAACCCATACTACATTACATGCAACGTCCACAAATGATGAAAAAAAAAAAATTATGAGAGATTTCGAGCACTAGAGAACTAAGGTGATTTCAATACAGGAACATAATCTTGCCATAGTCTACAGTAATTGTTTTAAAGTCGCCTTTGTAAAAATCGACACCTAACTTAATCGTAATTTCTTAATTGATATGGAAACTCACGTGAAAACACATCTTTTTTTTTTTTTTTTTATCTTTCCAATTACTCCTTTAGCGACTCCATGCAAAAGAGCAAAAATTCGTGTCACCTAATAGAGTACACAAATCAATTGGTTTAAAAAAAAAAAAAAAAAAAAAAAAAAAAAAAAAAAAAAAAAAGAAGTCAACAAGCTAGATTATGCGTTCGACGTCTGCCCAACTTGGGAGACTGCGGGATCGTTATACTGCGCGATCGAGCGACCGGCAGGGGTACGTATTTTCTTATCGGCTGAGCTTTGAAAGGCTTGATCCGATTATCGGCTGCGCCTCGCTGAAACGATATTATGCAAAAGTTAAAATCGGCATGTGACTCAACCAAACGGGTACGTACTTTGTTATGATTATCCAGCGATTCGTTTCGCTTCTTCGAGTTTTCCGTCCGAGTCACGGGATACGCGTTACACTTGGTGTACTTGTTCTTCGAAATGGCAGCGAACCTCGCGAGGTTTTTCTCTCTCTTGGGCTGCTGCGGAAGGTGCTTGTCTCCCGCGATGCCCAACTTTTGGTTCTCCTTGCGAATGCGCTCCCGATTCTGCCTCAACTTCTCCCTCATGGCCGTCAACAGCTTCGGCGACTTTGGGCATTTTGGGACGAGCGTCAGTCCCGGCTTTTTGCTGTCGAGACGGTCGGACCTTCGTTTGGGCTGTTGATGGATAATCGAATGAACATAAGAGCTACCAACAACGAGTTTTTGTGTTTGCCCGTGTACCTTGGAGTAGATGCTCGATTTTCTCGACCGTCTCCGACTGGAGGCGTTTGTCTTCCTCGCGCTCGGCGAGTCCTTGAAAAATCACGTGTTAGTAGCCATCGTTTGAATTGATCGATTTCTTTTTTTTTTTTTTTTTTTTTTTTTTTTTTTTTTTTTTTTTTTTTTTTTTTTTTTTTT